GAACCGCTGTTGCTCAGAGCTCAAACTCTTGAGCGAGCTCTTAACCAACTGAGCCACTCGGCCGGCCCAATATATGTGCATTTTAAAGCATATGGAATTAACCTACTTCCCTTTCATGAAGAACACAGGATGAGTAGGCAACATTCCATCTACTCCCTACATTTCCAACAGTCATTCCAACAGCCATTTTAAGTTACAGAGAAGAATCAAGGCTGGGATCTCGTAGCATGAGCTGCCTATGGATTGCCCTCCCATTTTCTGTGTCCCTGGTTTTTAGAACCCTCTTACCATCTTCTGCAGGTAAGACTCACATTAGTGGAATCAGAGTTATAATTTCCATGCTTGAAGTTGACACTGAAGGCCATAATTTCTAAGTCAGGAAGGCTAAATAATAACAATAATGCTTTGTTTTGATCCAGTGTGGTGGTTTTATAATGGTCTTTTGAACTCTTCCATATCTTTGTTTTCTACTTTCCAAGTTTCACAGCCAGTGTGTCTTTCCCTCCTGCCTGAATATTTTGGCTCCCTAACCCAACTCCTTTATATTCTCTTTGCTTTGAAGAATCTTTCAATGACTTACATTTACTTTACATATTCTTTATACTAATTCTTTATTTACCACTCTTGCTATGAACAGCATTCTGACATTAAGAACATGATAGACTTCTTTTTTTTTTAAATTCCCAAACCACTGGTAAAATAATATTTTTCTTTGAGAAAAGCATACATTATGCACTTACCTGCTTTACAAATGGGGAAACTGAAGCAGAGAAATTAAGAAGACTTACTTTAGGTCACAAAGTCAGTGACAAGATTGGGACTATGTCCTCTGACTCTCAGACTAGTGCTAGAAAACTAAAGATAAAAGTGCCTAAGATTAGAGTGACTTTAATTCATTTTTTTCTTTCTTAACTTTTGAAGTATACAACTTGCATAGGTTTTGCATTTGCAGATTTTCAAGGGTTTCTAAACACAGAAGCCTAGAAATCTATTAGAAGTAAGGCTAAAGATTTTGAGACAGTACTGACTTCCCCACCCCTTCTGAAGTACCACGGAGGAAAATGAATTTCCAAGAGTACCTATGTTCTTCATTTCAGTTATTCCAGAGAAGACTGCCTGGAGTACATGTTAGATTGTTAGCTAGTTTTTCTTATGGGAACTATACATGACCTTTTATTTCCCTATGTCAAGTCGTAGGAGATCTGGTTCACTCTTGGCTTGCTGCATTGGAACCTCCTGGGTCATGGAAGTAGGAATGGGGCCAAACAAGTTTCCCCCCTTTTTCCTCAGTAGGGTCACAATTACTGCTGCCATGAATTCTATGGCCCTAGTCTTTTTTTAAAAATCATTTTCTCTGATTTTATAAAAGAAGGTTGCCTCTTGTCTTATGTTCACATAGCAGGGCACAGTGGGTTTCTGTGGGGCACACAACACGTACATAAAGGAAAGGCTACAGACTGAGTAAAATATTCTCTCTTGGTCATTTGGTTAGTTGGGTCAATAACAACTGAGATGTACTTTGAACAGTGCTCAGTACTGACAGTCATAAAGGAATTAGAAGTCAAGCTCTTGCTAGTAGTACATATTGAAACATAAAAACATTAAAAATACAACCACGAAACAACAGAACAAGTACAAATAAATCAGCAAAATTCAGTACTTGGGAGCTGATGGAAAAGGGGTTAGAGCTGGGTGGAGTTAGTCAGTCCATGAAGACTTTCCGGTAAAGGTGAGTTTTAAAGGAAGGGAGGGGCATGGGTTTACTGAATAGGATGAGTTCTTTCCAGCAATAATGCATAAGCGATGGTAGAGATGAGGGAATGAGCAAGCTGTAAGGGCCAAATGGCAAACAGGTTAGGTTGCTAAGACTGGAGAATCTACATTAAAAGATAAGAAGTAACAAGTCTGAGTAAATAGTAAGATCAGTTCATGGAGAGCCTTATGGTTTCTTGCATAATGCAAATACCTTTTTAAGAAGCTGAGATACAGATGTATTAGAATAAAACAAAACTGGAGAGTTAGAAACACAGACAACTTGCTGCAAAATTGTCCAGAAGAGAGAGAAAAAAAAAGGCTGGGTCCTAATGCCAGCTTTGCCACTTATTAGCAGTATGACCTTGGTCAAGTCACTGAATCTCTGTGTGCCTGTTTTCTCACCTGTAAAATAGGGATGATGGTGTCCACCTAACAGAGTTGTTGAAAGGATTAAATGAATTAACACATGAAAAGTGTTTAGAAAGCACTGAATACATTATTCAATGTATTCAATCTTAATTATATTACTCTATTACTCTATTATTAATATTGCTATTATTTCTATGACCACTTCTTGTATCCATGTAAAAAAGGCCCCATCTCACATGCTAGTGTGAAAGGATTGCAGGTTTTCAGTCTGTCCTAAAAGGTACGTAGGATTCCGAGAATAAGAGGGCAGGCCCAGGGTCCAAGACTGTGCTGTCTAATACAATAGCCACTAGTCACATGGGACTATTGAGCACCAGAAATGTGGCTAGTCAGAATTGAGATGTATTGTAAATGTAAAATACATACTGGATTTCAAAGCCTTAGTACAGAAAGAAATTCTCATTAATATTTTTTCAATGGATTACATGTTGAAATGATAATGTTTTGGATATGTTGGGTTAAGTAAGATATATCAGTTTCACCTATTTTATTTCTAAAATTTTTTATGTGGCTACTAGAAAATTTAAAGTTACTTAGTTGGCTTGCATTATATCGCTATTGTACAGTACTGGTCCAGTACAACATTCATTATTGAGCTTTGAAATGAAGGGTTTCAACATGAGGAGGTTCTTCAAAGGCATATGGGGATTATGGACAAATCTCCTTGCCCTTAACACTTTAAAATATGTATACATTTACATATAATTAATATTTACTTATATTAAATATATCTCAATTTGCGAAATATAAAAAGAACTGAGGGAGCCACAGCTAGTTTACCTTTCAAGAGGTCACAATTGGTAAAGGCTCTTCTACTTTTTTAAAAATGCAGAAACAAAGATGAAAATGGGAAAAAGGTAAAATGTATCTTATTTTGAACAGTAAGTCATGGAAACAAAAATCTTCCTAACTTGAAACCTCTCCCTCAATTATCCAAATCGCATTGGTTTAAGTGACGTTGATTATTAAAGGTTTTCGGACATTTTTCATATCCCTTGAAGTTGCTACTTAAAATAACAGTAATAATTATGGCTAAAGAGCCTCGGATCAGGGCTTTCCACTGATCTGGAGGAAAAAATCCAGTTTGAGCTTTTGTTCTGAATTTATATTTTAACATTTAACCCTGACTGCACTAACTGCCTAGGCTTCAATTTCCAAAAACAGCTGTGGGGAACCGGGGCTCACACCTTTCACTCTGCTTCTCAAACCCTTCCCGGTTCCTTCCGCTTGTTCCTTCCAGAGGTCTATTCTCTATCCCCAGCAGCGCCAACAGGTGCAGTGCAGCGAGCTGCCTCCCGCCCCCAGCTCGCGCCCGCGACCCCACGCCCTCCGCCCAGCCGGCCGCGCCCTCCCCGCTCCGCCCCCTGCCCTGGCGCGCGCGCGCGCACACACACCGGCGGGGACGCGCCCGGCCTGCGGGGACGCGCACGCAGCTGCCGCCCCCTCCCTCGCTCGCCGCCTGCTCTTCCTCGGCCCTCCGCCTCCTCCCCTCCTCCTTCTCCTCCTCAGCCGCTCCTCTCGCCGCCGCCGCCTC